GGGCAGGGTGAAGGGCAGTGGCTTCAGCAGATGTTACTGAACATGCTCAGTTCATGTGACCATACACAAAAGCCACTTTGCTCAAATAAAAATGCCTCTTGCCCCCCCAACAAACTATTTTGCCAAGCAGTGGTGTCTCAGTGCCACTGGGGTAACTGTTACCCACTCTGTGCCTGCTTGTGCCAGGGTTTTGCCCTCTGACACCCTCTGCCAGTGCCTCACTCCTGGGCTTAACTCCACCTCCCCCCCCATTCCTGATTTTGCCCTTTAGCCCCTCTCCTACTGCTGCCTCCAGCTGCTTGACCCCCCCAGACCAGTAAATTTTCACCCCCTGCTCAGAACCTGGCCACCCCCTGCTCCGATTCGCCCACTTGGCCCCCCTTTAACCCCTGTCAAAAGCAGTCCGCAGAATCTTACGGCTAATAAGGGCAAGGTGAAGGGCAGTGGCGTCAGCAGATGTACTGAGCATGCTCAGTACACCATAAGTAGCACATTCCTGTGGAGAGCAATTTAATACACTACACCGGCTCTGATCAGTGCTGGGCAGCTGCCGAGCTGTGATTGTCCTTCTTTCTTCCCCTTCCTCTCCCGAGCGTCAGCATTTCTCCCGCTCCCTAACCACAACTGAAAACTCACCACCAGCAGCAGCAAAACAGGTAACCGCCCCCTGCTCGCTCCCTTGTGCAGGAGGGCAGCGCCCCTCCGCACCCGTGGTGGTGGTGGGGTTGTGAACTCTGGCAGGACGGTGACTGTTCACACAAGGGTATAATGGGCCCCCCCCAGTCCCGACTAGGACTTTGGCCACGACCATAATACTTAACAAGGGTGACAAGGAACCAGGTCTGCAATGGGCAGTGCGGGGCCCGGCGGGGCTTTAACGCCGCAGCCCTGGGCACGGAGCACCCCCATCCGGAGAAGAGCAGTTTGATCGGGGAGCACATCCTGCGGCTGGGGGCCTGGGGATGATGAGTGCAGGCTTCGGGCAGGGCTTCAGCTGCTGTTAGTGAGCATGTGCGGCCCCTCCAGGCATGCTCAGCAATAAAAAGGAAGCCACAGCGACTCGAGGGGGCAGAGTCAGACACCAGATCAGGCTCGCTGCCGAGGTCCAGGGGCGGCAGCGCGGGGTGCTGGCCACACGGGCTCACTCTGCAGGTGAGGACAGACTGACACAGGCCGGGTGGGCAGGACAGCAGACTCATTGCAGTGGGGGGCAGGCAGAGGCGTAGCGAGCGCCCACTGTACCCTCCGACCGGAGGGGGCCCCGCAAGGAAGGGGGCCCCTAAAAGTGGCAAAATAAATACTGCATTCCAGTTTCTGCATTGTAAGGGGCCCCGCCCGGACATATGTTCGGAGGGGGCCACGTTCTTTGTTGCTACGGCCCTGGGGGCAGGCTCTGCAGAGTTGTGGAGAAACTCAGATTCTTAAAGGGGGGCAGACTGGCTGAGTCTTGGAAAGGAGGAGACAGACAGACCGGCTTCCTGAGAGTGACTGAGGGGGTGGTGTGTGGAGCTCACGGGGGTCGGGGGAGACACTGAGTTTCTGAGCAGTGTGGTTGTAGCAGATTTTCATAGATTCATAGATTCTAGGACTGGAAGGGACCTCAAGAGGTCATCGAGTCCAGTCCCCTGCCCGCATGGCAGGACCAAATACTGTCTAGACCATCCCTGATAGGGATTTTGTCCCTTCCCCATCCCCTGTAAGGCTCATGTGATGCTGTTATCTCTGGGCTGGAGCTGTTCACACAATGTGCAAATCAGCATGTTCTCAAGAGAGTCTGTGCTGTTTCAATTATTTTCATACTATGTGTACTCGGGGCAAAACCTGTTAGAAAGTAGCTTTGCATTAACAGGACTCACAATCCACTGTTGGTGAGTAGGGGTGCCAATGCCATCCGCTTCTGTTGAATCGAATCTTTAATTTATAGAAGAATTTAGTTTCTAGCCCTTATGATTATGAAGACAACCTCCCAAAGCTGAGCCAAGTGTAACCATTGCAGTGTTGAAGTCTTATGTCCTCAGATATACCATTCCAGGGGGAGGGATAGCTCAGTGGTTTGAGCATTGGTCTGCTTAAACCAGGGGTCTCAAACTCAAATGACCATGAGGACTAGTACATTGGCCCGAGGGCCGCATTACTGACACCTCCCCCCCGCTGCCCTCGGCCCCACCCCCACTCCACCCCTTCCATGAGGCCCTGCCCCGCCTCTTCCCACCCCTTCCCTGCCCCCATTCCAACCCCTTCCCTGAAATCCCCACCCCAACTCTGCCCCCTCCCTGCCCCCAGGGGGTGCAGGAGGGGTGTGGTGGGGGCTCAGGACAGGGAGTTGGGGTGTGGGGTGCAGGAGGGGTGAGGGGTACAGCAAGGGGTCAGGGTGCAGGGGGCTCAGGGCAAGGGGTTGGGATGCAAGAGGGGCGCAGGATGCGGCAGGGGGATCAGGGCAGTGGGTTGGGGTGCAAGAGGAGTGTGGGGTGGGGCAGGGGGCTCAGGGCAGGGGGTTTGGCTGCAGGAGGGGTTCGGGGGGCAGGATCTGGCCTGGCGTTTCTGCCCTGCCCCTGCAAGAGGCTGGAACATGGGGAAGGGGGGGCGGAGGGGCTGTGTGTTTCTGTTGCTTGAGGCACTGCCTCCAGCAGCTCCCATTGGCCGCGGTTCCGTTCCCGGCCAATTGGAGCTGCTGGGGGCGCTGCCTGAAGCAACAGCCACACACAGCCCCTCCACCCCCCCTTCCCCACGTTCCAGCCTCTTCCCGGAGCTGCACAGGGCAGGCCAGACAAGCAGGGAGCATGCCCTGCTCCCGGTGCACGTCTGGCCGGAGCCGCTCTGGTAAACACTGGGGGGGGGGGCTCGCGGGCCACAGAAAATCACCCTGCGGGCCGCATGCAGCCCACGGGCCACGTGTTTGAGACCCCTGGCTTAAACCCAGGGTTGTGAGTTTAATCCTTGAGTGGCCATTTAGGGAACTGGGGTAAAAATCTGTCTGGGGATTGGTCCTGCTTTGAGCAGGGGGTTGGACTAGATGACCTCCTGAGGTCCCTTCCAACCCTGATTCTATAAATACTGCTCAGAAATGTAACTGGGACAAACTGGATAAGTTTTGTTCTGATGCTGTAGACAAAGTTGGAAGCAGCAGCAGAGAAAGTCATGGAGGAGAAGGCACCAAAGACAAAGGCTGCTATGCTACCTCTTTCCCACAGTAGAGACTTCCCTGTCCAGCAGGAGAAGAATTCTCCTTTTCCCAATCTTTCCAAGAGAGGAGAGAGGCTGAGGGTGGGACCGGGGCCATGTGTGGAATAACAGTAATGAGTGGTGGGTAAATTTTGTAAAGAGAAGTAGAATTGACCAGGCTCAGAAGTGACTTTTCAATCACTTGATTCAGGGCCGCCCAGAAGCGGGGGCAAGTGGGGCAATAGGCCCCGGGCCCTGCAGGGGCCCCCACGAGTATGTCGGAGGCTCCCCCCACCTCCGTCTTCCCCCATTCCCCGGCGTCTCAGCTGGTAAGGGGTCGGGGCTGCGAGCTGCGGCCGAGCGGCGGGAACTCAGGCCCTCCTGGAGACACCACGCTGCTGCAGCACTGTCCGGGGCCGCTCCTGGATGCGGCGCACTGAGGCTTCGGGAGAGGGGGTAAGCGGCATGGGGTCAGGGGGGTGCCCGGCCCCTTACCATTTCCCACAGCCCTGACCCCCCAGCTTTGAGCCCAGCCCCTCTGAGCCAGGTACCTCCCTGACCCCAACCCCCACAGCCCTGACCCCCAGCTCTGAGCCCCTCTGAGCTGGGCACCCCCCTGACCCCATCCCCCTCACAGCCTTGACCCCCAGCTCCGAGCCCAGCCCCTCTGAGCCGGGCACCCCCCTGATCCCATCCCCCTCACAGCCCTGACCCCCAGCTCCGAGTTCTGACCCCATCTCCCCACAGCCTTGACCCCCAGCTCTGAGCATAGCCCCTCTGAGCTGGGCACCCCCGACCCCATCGCCCCACAGCCCTGACCCGCAGCTCCAAGCCCAGCCCCTCTAAGCTGGGTACCCTCCCGACTCCATTCTTCCCACAGCCCTGACCCCCAGCTCCAAGCCCAGCCCCTCTGAGCCGGACACCCCCCTGACCCCATCTCCCCACAGCCCTGAGCCCAGCCCCGGTGAGCTGGGCACCCCCCAACCCAGAGCCCAGCTCCCCACCCAGCCCTGGGCAACAGCAGCACCACCCCCAGGCAGCGACAGTCCGTTGGCACCAACCATCACCATCACCCAGCAACAGCCCATTATGTAATTGCAAATGTATACATACCATTAAAGCATTTAATGTTTTTAAATGTATTTAGTGTATTTTCAAATTATTACAAATTAATTTTTGAATGTATTTCACTGGTTATTTTTTACATTTCCAAATACATGTTACTATAGTATTGCAACTTTTTTTTATGGAAGGGGCCCCCGAAATTGCTTTGCTCCAGGCCCCCTGAATCCTCTGGGCAGCCCTGACTTGATTTTCCACTATCTCCAACCCAAGCAGAAGCTATAGAGCTCTTCAGGGATTATGTCCATATGAAATGTTAAATTTGGTGGCTTAGCTCCCTTGATAAAAATGTGCTTATATTTTTTCCCCTTTATATTGTTTGACATGCATCTTTTCCACTCCGTCCCCAGACCTCAAAAATGGTGTTAGAGATTTTGTTTCCAGAAATTCTCTCTTCAAGCAGAGACCCAGACATAAGTACTGTCTGGCCCAAAGGTGAATGTTTTAGGAACTGATGCACATGTGAAAACAGGAGATTCAAAGAGAAACAGCCTTTGAACTAGAACTGTACCAGGTGCTACCAATCTTATGCTCAGACCTTGCCTGCTACAGTAACCCCGTCTGCACAGGTCCTCAGAAAACTGCACAATCTGTTTTTCTCAAAAGAAACTTACAAAGTCCACCTGTTCCAGGCTTTGCCTGTAGAGCTTTGTCATTAACAGAATTTACTCAAAATATATATTTTGCTTGTCTTTCTGACTTCTCCCAACAGCTCAATGGCATCCCCAAAGAGACTGCAGGGTCTCACAGCAGCTACAATCACTCCAATGACTCCAGATGGGTAAATATTACCTCTCCCCACCAAAAGGGTTGCTGTCAATGTCAATGAATGTATTGTGAACTTTTCCCCAGAACCTTACATTTTCCTACTTGCTTTTCTGCAACTACTTTTTTTTTTTTAAGTTAACTTTCTAACCGTGTTCAACATCCCAAGAAGACAAAGGTTTGTGAAGGCTTTTGTTTGACTGACTAATCCCCTTCCTTACAGTCCTGCAGTACTGGGAGCAGAGGTTAATTTTGTGGTGGGCAGCTTACTCAGGAGAGTCTAGGCTGGCTCTCGGAAGAAAAGAAAAAAAAAATCAGGTTGGTTACACTGTAAAAATGGAGTTGCTCAACCTTACCTGCCTTTGATAAGTGCTTTGAGATCTAGGTTTGAACAGTGTTATGTCTGTATTTACACCACTCCTTTCAACTTGTAAACTGAGAAGATTTCATCTGGAGTTATTGAGAGGCCATAAATATGGAATCCAACCCTGATTATTCGTATCACAAGCAAAATGAAGACTGTCCCTTTCTCTCTTTATCCAACCAAAGAGAAAGGGCAAAGTAACATCCACCAGATGCCATTTAACAGCCTGCATCCTGTAACTATGAAGGATGGTTTGCTTAGCTACTTCTTACAGTAGTAGAGTGTAGTTATAAAAATAACAACTTCTATTTTTTTTAAGTGCCCAGAAGTTATTCATAGTGCTTCCCTTCTCAAAAGTGCTTAGTTTAATTACCAAAAAAGACACAATGGATTACAGCAACAAACAATTGGTCAGGAGGCAGTGGGGGAATTAAAAGAAAGAGGCATGAAAGTTAGAACTGCACATCTAAATGATCCTGTGACATCTTTTGGCCTATAAATAAATATCCATATGTGTACATACACACTACTTTAAAATGCATTTTTAAAAATTGTTTTATAATCCCACACATCTTTAAATTGGGGTTAAGGTTGCTGAAATGAACACCCAAACTGTGGGCCTTGAGGGCACATGGGAACAGGGGAGTGTGGGTGGCTTCAGTCTCTTCTCAGGGGACATGGGAACAGTTAGCAGAGAAACATCAGGTGATTCTAGACCTGCTCATTATGGTGAGAGCCCAGACCATGCATTCAAGTGCTAAATTGAGTGGGAGGGAGGGCAGGCAAGGTTTCAAAGTGTGTGTGTGTGTGTGTGTGTGTGTGTGTGTGTGTGTGTGTTGGGGGAGTGTAACTGGGTGGCTTGCTCTTAAGGGCTGGATGGAGGGCCTACAGCTAGTCACCCCAGATCATGAAGGAGTCACACCTAGGTTGAATCAGGGAAGCAGGATGCAGAGAATGGCTGCAGCACAATATTCTCTGGTCTCACACACCTCCCTATCTCCCCCACTCACACTGGTGTAAAGTGATCTTCATGTAAGGGAGAATCAGGCCCCATCTGCCACTCTGACATTGGCTCACTAGCCACATAGTCAGAATAACTAAAAGGTTCTAGTGGTGACTAATTTAAAATCTGAACCTGATAGAGATGCTGTGATTACACATGCTGTCTGTCTCGCCAGTTTAAGGACAGCTAGACCGTTAGCATTTTGAGTCACACTCCAATGTCCAAAGGGGAACTGTATGGCTGATCAACAACACTACATATTTCATCTTGTTTAGGAACGCTGCATTTTCCCCCCGTGGCCAATATTGAATCGGGAGCTCAGATTTTTTTTTTTTTTTTTTTTTTTTTTTTTTTTTTTTAAATCTTGAGCATTCCATTCCAACCTTAATTCTCCTTAAATTACAATGTACAATACAAGAAACACTTAATAATCTGAACATGGTAGAGCTGCTGGAAATGAGCCACTGTATTTTAATAGGGCAGAAAAAACCCCACAAAGCATCTTCAGTAGCAGAGGTAAGTGACTGTGCCAGCGGGTCTTGTTTTGTCTCTCTTGTGTTAAAGCCAAGACCACAGACCATTCCGTCCCTTAAAGGGGTTAAATGGTGAGCATCCAAGAATGTAATGGGGGGGAAACGTTTTTTCCTGTAATATTTTACTCTGTGCCTTTCATCCTAAATGATGTCTTCGTGTGCTCCACAAATTACAAGCATGCAGCACACCAGTAAGATGCAGGGAGTGGGAAAGTGGCACTGGCAACCATCTAGCACACTGTAGAATACAGATGGGGAGAGTAAGGGAAATTTTGACCAAGAACGCTGGAGTTTACCTCTGATCATTGTTTAATTCTGTGACAGCAAAAATGGATCACAGCAGAGCTGGTCAAGATTTCTCAAAAAGTCTAAGTTATATGGAATAAAGGTTTTCCATAAAGGTTACCATTGTTTGACCAGCTCTAGATCATAGGGTCTGTCTCAGTGATTTCTGTACTCCAGCATGAATCATTTAAAATTCAGACCATGGTTTTTAAGTACTCTTTCTGCAGATTAAGCCTGGATCCTGAGCAAGGAGTTGTTCTCTTCCCATCTCTCACCTGACCACCAGTAACACATATTCTGCAGAGCAAATTATACCTCTAATTGACACAGGCACAATCCCATTGTCTTCATTAAGTTTGCACAGATTGGAATTTAGCATACAATATCTGGGAGGGGCTTTGCAGGGCAAGCAGCAGTAAAGAGTAGTGAAAATATATGGGTTAGAAACTGCAAAATTGTCAAGGTATGGGCTAGGTCCTCAGCTGATGCTAATTTACATCAGCTGAGGATTTGGTTCTCTGCTTGCCACTGAAGTGAGCAGATATGACTGTGAATACGCAAAGGAATAGCTCTGTCAAAGCAATAGTTACTACTTTTACCTAGTCACTTTTCAGTTAGACCTGCAGTCTTAAAGCACTACAAGATATTAAATGTTTGCCCAGGGGAGAAAGGGCCTTTATTGGGGGGTTTTCAGATACAGAAAAAACAAACAACTGCCTAGAATTGTTTAGCCACCTCTGAATGCCTGAGTGAACTGTGTTGGCGATTGGAGACTTTGGTGTCTGAGAGTCTACTAGTTTCAAACCTGCCATTAAATAAAACATAACTAAGCTTGGTATCCCTCCTAGCTACACTTTATTCCGGGCTTACCCCATGTTCCTTAGATCAATAGTTCTCAAACTTTTTTTTTTTTTTTTTGCGGACCACTTGAAAATTGCTGAGGGTCTCGGCGGACTACTTAATGATCTATCCAAATATTGTTTGTACTGTTCGCTAACTATTATAAAGCACTCTGGATAAAAGCACTATTTGGTCTACAAATAAAAGCACACAACTCATATTTTAATATCAGTAGTCTTACCTTTCCAATGCGATGGATGTGCCCTCTCTCTCCCTCCCACCATGGCAGCCCCCGAGCTGGGGTTGGGAAGGAGGAGGATCTCGCCCCAGCCCTGGAGCTGGGGAAAATTGCCTCTTTCTCTAGCCACCGCAGCCCTGCACATCCCAAATTCCCTCCATCCCCTCTTCTCACCCCACTGCCCCCTCCCACCTACCTCCTATTCCCGCCAACACCTCACCTTACATGTAAGTCTTCTCAGCGGTTCCCATAAGTAGGTGGGTGGAGGGGTGAAAGTAGAAACAGGGACTTGCTGGTATGGGGCTGGGTTGGGGCTGGCTCTGGCCCCCGGAAGGGGCGGGGATGGGGGGTCAGAGCCAGCCCTGGCCCGCCCTGTACTGGTAAGTGCCCTCCCTCTCCCCCGCCGGGGTAGCAGCGGCAGCTGGGGGCTCCGGCAGCAGTCTATTTAAAGGGCCCAGGGCTCAGCCGCCGCTACCGCCCCGGGCCCTTTAAACTGCTGCCGGAGCCCCCCACCTGCCGCTGCTACTCCAGGGCTCCGGCGGCTATTTAAAGGGCCGGGGCCTCTCCTGCTTCTACCGCCCCGGCCCTTTAAATAGCCCCCGGAGCCCTGGGGTAGCGTACCGGCTTACTTTCACCTCTGGGTGGGTGGCCCTTCATTCTCTTGTGTGTAGCCGCCCAGGCGCGCACCTTAGAGGGAACTATCCGCAGACAACCTGAATGGAGCTCACTGACCACTGGTGGTCCACGGACCACAGTTTGAGAACCTCTGCTGTAGCGCTTTCCAGAAGTCCGAGCCAGTCTGGTGGCTGCTGTGTGCTCAGAAGGGCAGCGGTTATGAGACAGAATCAGGTAAACTTGAAAAATAGCGTTCTTATCAAGTCTTCAATATAATATATAATTTTTAAAGGCATTAATAAATTGTAGCAATAGAACACGTGAAGCTTTGAGGTTCTGGTCGCTGAATATCTGGGTCTTATAGTTCTGTGAATCTCATGCTCTAGGAATCCCAATTTAGGTCTCACATACAGGACACTTTCTAATCTGGCGTTCTCAGCCCCAAATACCCTGTTCAGAAGCTTTTATGTATAGAGGTCTCCACAATTCAGGAAGAGGGCAGCTGAAATTTTTTTTTTTAAGCTAGATTTCATACTCCCAACCCCTCTAGGGTATTAGAGGGAAACCTGTTAGAACTTGAACTTGGTCAGGGATTCCTTAAACACATGTTATTTCTGTCTTCCCCTTTTTTATTTTCTTTCTTTTCAGAGAAATTAACCTCTCTGTGATTGGGCAATATGTGGATTATCTTGTAAAAGAGCAGGGTGTGAAGAACATTTTTGGTAAGTCTTAAGCAGTGAATTGTGCTTCTTGTCAGCCAAGAGCTGTGATGCAATGGAATATGGGGATGGGAGCATTATAAACGTGCACTTAAGTGGAAGAGATCATAGCCTATTCTTTAAGAATCTGTTTTTGCCTAAACTCCCAGTTATGTGCAGGATAGAGCAGAAGATGAGAATGTTACTGGAGTGAGGAAGGAAGCAGAGACCACTACTAGACAATGCCATATTAGGGCATTAAGAAGGATCAAAGCAGTGACAGAAAAGACCCATCTGAATGATTCTATCCACATGCTTGGGCAAGATGTGGTCACCTGATAGACAACATTGGATATGAGAGAGATGCATTTATTCAAATCATATTTATTCAATAGGCACCTTTATCAAATGAGCTTCAAGTCCATTGTCCTCTTACAAGGGTTTCTTCCTTTCTGATTGTGTTGGCCTAGGAGTGTGTGACGCTGCCCGTGGGAGCCAGTGGGAGCCAGCTGAGGTCACTCAATCAGGGTGAACTGCAAACAAAACAGGGCAGACAAACCCCAAATGCTGGTGGTTATTCCAATACTTAGATTTACCAAGCCAGCACAAAACAGCTTCTGTAGTACCTCACTGGTTACTCAGAAGTCCAAACCACGCAGTTCCCTTAAAGTACCCAGCCTCAGGCCTCCGTCCAGACACACACGTCAGATATGATGATTACTGAGAATCTTATCATATAAAAGAGAAAGTTCTTCCAATCCCAAAGGCTCAGCCATATACCAAGGTCCAATTATAACTTAGATCTTACCCAAAATACACACTATTAGCCAATTCCTATTAACTAAGCTAAAATTTATTAAAGAAAAGAGAGGGAGTATTGGTTAAAAGATCAATATACATACAGACTTGAATTCAATTCTTGAGGTTCAGATATATAGTAGAGGTGAGTTTGTAGTTGCCAAAAGTCCTTTTAGAAATAGTCCATAGGTTACATTCCAATGTTCATATTCAGGGTGGCTCCAGTCAATGACTGGGGATCTCAATCCTTGTGGCTTAAGGTTTCCCCCTCTTGAAACCCAAAGCAAAACTGAGATGCAGCAGGATCGTGTCCCAGGGTTCTTATACATTTCCAGCAGTCTTTCGGCCTGAGAAAACACTAGGCTTAATTCTCCCTCCAAACATCCTGGCAATTAGCACAGGGTAATTTATTCATTAAACAGTTCAGATACAGGTTACCACAACCTTCAAAGAGACATATAGACAATAACACTGTTTCACTCAAGTATCATTATAAATGTTAATATTCCTTTTTTGATCTTTGAATTAAAGTTATAGCAATAGACAAGACTTGTTTGCTTAAATCACAAGACCTGAGCAAACATCTACCCTTGAGATCTCTAACAATGCAGACTTGCATTTCAAAGTTCTATTCATTTACATATCTTTCTAACCAGTCCTTAAGGTTCAAACATGGGTTAGGTCAGTCTGTGAGTTAATTAACTCTTTCTGGCCCTGTCGCCTTTCAATGAGATATTATATTATACTCATAACATCACAGAGGGCATATGCATTTAACTCTTTCAGTGCTATAGTCTCTCTCTCTCTCTCTCATATAAAATATATATATATATATAATCACACAAATTCCGCATGTTTAACTAAAGCACTTTAAAAAACAGTTTATTTAAATCAGTGCAAACCCTTGTGTGGACTTGCATATCTGTTTACAACTGTCCAATATTGGGTTAGTTTGTGTGATTAAATTTCAATAATGGTCTTTAGTCAAACCAGTGCAACTTCTCTGTGTAGGCCAGGCCTTAGAGTGTGTTGTGTTCTGCTTGAAACAGTGAATGGCACAACAGGAGAAGGGCTGTCACTGAGCACCCAGGAGAGGAAGCAGCTGGCAGAGGAGTGGGTGACCAAAGGGAAAAACAAGTGAGTACTCTAAGGAAACTTGTCTGTTCACCTAGACATTACTGCTTGTCTAAGCAAAGGGTGCACCCTCTAATTACTTCCTCTATTTTCTTTCCCTGGCCCTTTTATCAAGATGTTGCTGGTGTTGTCAAAATAAGGGACTATAGAAATGCTTATGGAGGCATGTGGAAGAGAGGCGGTTTTGGAAACGCCCTCTTCCTGTTGCTTAAGTTGGGGGAAGGGAAAGTAATAAGGGATGTGAAAATGAGACCATCTTTGCTGCTTTTATGTTGCCTTAACACAGGCATGAGAGCCTCAAAATCTTTGTATGTATTTATCTTTTCAACACCCCTGTGCAGCAGAGCAGTGCTATTATCCCCATTGCACAAATGGGGAAACTGAGGCACAGAAAGACTAAGTGACTTGCCCAAAACCACACCAGAAGTCTGTGGCAGAGCAGGAAATTGGCCTCATGCCTTTTGAGTCCCACGTTACAACTCTAATCACTGGACCATCCCTCTTCTTGGATGTTTTGCATATTCTCATATCACTCACCTTTGCGCTGTCTCTGACGTCCATGTTGAAAGTGAGTTGTGGGGAGGTGAGAGATGGGGAGGGAGAGAGTGGAATTGTGGGGAAGGGACAGTGAAAATCGGGGAGGGGGGAGTGACAGAGAGGGGAAAACATTTTCACTGAATTTTCTTTTGGGTTTAAACTTCCTGGGCTTTTGTTTGGAGGGAGAAAGAGGGGAAACAAAAATGGGTGGAGTTTTTCCTTGAAGTAGGGGTATCTTGGTAACTTTTGTTAAAAAAAATTCTGGATTCGGGTTTTTTTGTTTGTTTTTGGGTTTTTTTATTGCTGAATAACTCAAAAAAATTCCTATAGAAAGTCTAAGGGGGAGGAAAAAGAATTTTGAAAATTTCCCATGAAAAATGATTTTTTTAAAAATTTTTTAACCTACTCTGTGTGACTCTCTAAGCTTGCTGCATACAATGGGCCTGATTCTCCACAGCCTTGTATCTGGTGCATTCATTTCTACTGATGCAAAATGGTGTCAGATGTTCCAGATCAGAATGATTAGCCCTTTACATAGGGGATGAGACTACACAAGAGACAAAGCAGGGGAGAATCTGGCCCACTGCTTCAGGAAGATCATTTGGCCAGCATGTGGCAGCTCGGGCGATGAGGATCTGAGAGAGCTGCAGAAATAAGATTGTGGGATCAGGGTGTCGAACACCTCTGGGTGGAGGAGGGTACTGGGAAGAAGTGTTGGATGTGTGGCTGAACTTTTTGCTGTACTCTAAAACTTTGTTTCGAGATCCCTTTTAGTTTGTATCCCCACTCCAATGAAGTATCTGCTGTGTGGACAAATAGAGGACATAATTCAGTATGCCAGACAGACAGTCTGGGTACTTTCCCCCACATTTAAATTCCCATAAACCAAAAAATAAACAGCAACCTTTCAATCTTTCTCTTGTGTAGGTTGGATCATGTGATCATTCACGTGGGAGCATTAAGTCTACCAGAGGCAAAGGAACTGGTGCGTGTGTGAATTGTCTCTTAGCCTCCTTCCTTTGTCTTTCCATAACCTTATATATGAGTGGGTTGATCCCCTTTTCTTTTCTGAGTTTATGTGCTTACTGACATGTGCTCTTTCCATGTTATGCTGTCTTGGTCCTGGGGGATCCTGAGAGTACATCTACATGGCAATAAAACACTGGCCTGGATCAGCTGACTCAGGCTCACAGGGCTTGGGCTGTAGGGCTATAAAATTGCAGTGTAGACGTTTTAACTCAGGCTGGAGCCTGGGTTCTCAGACCCACCCACCTCACAGGGTCCCAGAGCCCAGGCTCCACTCCAAGCCCAAATGTCTATACTGCAGTTTTATAGCCCTGCAGCCCAAGCCCAGTGAGCCTGTGTCAGCTGACCTGAGCCAGCCACGGGTATTTTATCAACATAGTCATATCCCTGAGTCTTTGAGCACACACGCATTGGATCTAATCAGACTGAGTTGGTTTGCTCTACTAGCATCTCCTGGACAGCTGTCAGGTTATGCAGAATTTGTTTGTTTGTATTGCTACAGGGCCTAGAATGCCCTTTCATGGACCAGGACCCCATTGCACTAGGTGCTGTACAAGCACAGAATGTTACAAATAGATTCTCCGCCACCATTTTACTGGGGGTGGAGGGGACTTCCAAATGTGACCTGATGCCCCTCATGTGAACGGCCCCATTCATCTCAGTAATACAATTTACAATGGTCATTAATTATATTACCCACTTTGTTGTGGGTCACTTTAGGATAAACCTCAGGCTCCCCTGGGATTGAGGCTCTCTTGATTTGGTTAACTGGAGGAGCCAGCCAGGCTCCTCTTCACTGCACTCTGGTTGGGGGAAGGTTTAATGAATGGAGGCTTTTGCCCTTTGAGGCTTCGTCCTAAGGGATGAGCTCGTGTCATGAAGTTGCATCAGCTTGTCATGAGGGGATGTTGCTGCCTCATTGACGTATCAAGTAGCATCTGCTGTGCCCTGAAAATTCTCAGGTACCCTTTAACATTCCACCAGGTAGGCATGCAGGATGTGGGATCTGCATTCAACATTGGGATGCTCCTGGAGAAAAGGTGGCAATTAGAAAATTGCTATAGATGTAGTGCTGTCCGGGACAAAAAAAATCCCCTCCACACCAGCCTATGTTGCAAGGAAATAGAGTGTCATTAGTGCTGAGAGAGTGACACTATGATGATGGGCATATGTTAGAAAAATCTAGTTAGGCTTATGATTTTTTTTTTTTTTTTTTTTTAACCATCCCTAAAGCACAGGCTACTGGTAACACGGCTCCCCTATATCTGCACTTTATTCCTTTGTTTTCCCCCCAGGGCCTCCACTCCTCATTTCCTCCTCTTCTCTGTTTCTTAGGGGGCTTCCATACTCTCTCTAGTCTTCTGACTCAATCTCTCTCTGTCGGCCCCTGTTCACTTGTGCACTGTCTTGCTCGCTCTCATACACACATGTTCTCAGGCCCAGATGGTCCACTCCTGGCCACTTCAGGGGATGTGGGAATCTTAAAGGCAAGTAGTAGCTGAAGGAAGGGAAAATTCTTGAAGAACCTGATGGTGCTAGAGAGCAGGATTCTATTCCTTGCTTTTGCCACTTACTTCCTGTGTGACTTGAGCAAGTCGCTTAACCTGTTTGTCTCCCAATGTGTAGAATGGGGTCAGTGATACTAACCTATTTCTTGGGAGGTGAGAGCTGTGAGGATGGAGGACCATTCATTAATAAGGCAGAGGTAATAGATATGTGTTTTTGTTTAGAAACAGAGGTAGTGCATTACCTTGATGGAAGGGCCCCTTCATCCCTGGCAAAACTGGCACAACTCCCATTGACTTCAGGGTTGAACTTGTTCCATAATGTACAACTTGCTTCTAAGAGTTTAATTCATAGCGGTGGAATGGATTGATGTGGTTCTTCTTCACTATGTGCATGATAGAAACACATGCAGTGCATGTACCTTTGATACATTCTGTTCTCTCCTATTCAGGCCAAACATGCAGCTGCAATAGGAGCCAGTGGTATCGCTGGGATCGCCCCTTTTTTTTTCAAACCTACAAACAAAGGTGAGCAGAGACGTCTGTGGCCATCACATCCACAGAGGCCCTTTTTCTTCTGCAGTTTGCCACACATTCAGGCTATCAGCAGTACGATATGGTAAAGGGAGGTCATGTTTTTTAGAGATCTGTGGCAGCAATGCTGCTGTAGTTGGTCAGAGCATCTGTATCTTTGCTATATGGTTCCTCAATGATAAAACTTCCTTTATAGTGCTTATATTCCTCCTTCAGGTGTTGGAGTTTTTTCTAAGAGGGCAGGTAATCGAGTTTTAACATAGGTCCTGTGTTATAGGCTCCATCTTTACCCTCTGCTGCTCTGGCTCAGAATGTAACCATCCTCACTGTCATATGGACATTCTTTTGGAAACCATTTCTGGAAATAACATTGTTTGAATGTCAGTGGTGTGTTTGGTCTTGGTCATAAGTGAAACTAATTGATGATCTCTTGATGCCTACTGGACACACCAAATTGCATACATTATATTGGCATATTTGACAGTTTCTGCGGAAGCACAGGAGTGGATTAACAGGACCAGTGCATATTACTTGTGAGGTGCAGAACTACTTGGGAGCAGATCAGAGCTGAGGATAAATGATAGAGCTGTGTGGAAGAAGCTTGCAAAACTCTGACCTTAGCCAGTGTTATCAATTTGTGAGATTAGCCCAAAATGAAATAACCTATTGTTGTCTCTTGGTTTTTATATAACACATGTAATATGAAGGAATTACACTGGACCAGTGGGTTTGAAATAATCATGTTTACTAATCTTATAAACCATTCAAGGCCTAGCTACATATATACACTACTGTTCTGTTGGCTTCTGAAACCTAGACAGTGAGAAACACTAGAGAGCTCACAAACTATTAAAAGCATAGTACCCAATTCCTATATCCTGCACCTATTAAGTGCAGAAGAGATCGAGAAATAGTGTCTCCTTAGAGATAGGGTGACCAGATAGCAAGTGTAAAAAATCGGGACAGAGGGTGGGGGTAATAGGCACTGTGACGGGTTGGATCACAGAACCCCCCCCTTGGAGCTGCCACCCGATGTGCCAAGACTACTTCTACTCCTGCTTTCCCTGCCAGCTCGGAAACCCAGCACCCTGTCTTGCTAAGCCAGACACTCCCATCTACTCCAACTGAGGCTAGGTCTACACTACAGCGGGGGTCCGACCGAAGGTACGCAACTTCAGCTACGTGAATACTGTAGCTGAAGTTGCGTATTTTAGGTCGACTTACCTGGCTGTGAGGACGGGGAAAGTCGACCGCTGCTGTCGACTCCGCTGCCGCCTCTTGCCGCGGTGGATTTCCGGAGTCGACGGCAGAGCGATCAGGGATTGATTTTATCGCGTCTTCACTAGACGCGATAAGTCGATCCCAGAAAATCGATTGCCTGCCGCCGGACCCTCCGGTAAGTGTAGATGTACCCAAAGACCCAGGGTCTGAATTACTTCCCCCAAAGCTGCAGGTTTACCTGAAAGCAGCTAACAGAAGTGTTCCTGTCTTTAACACTCATATGCCCAACTCCCAATGGGGTCTAAACCCAAATAAATCCGTTATACCCTTTATAAAGCTTATGCAGGGTAAACTCATAAATTGTTTGCCCTCTATAAGACTGATAGAGAGAGATGCATGGCTGTTTGCTCCCCCAGCTATTAATACATACTCTGGGTTAATTAATAAGTAAAGTGATTTTATTAAATACAGAAAGCAGGATTTAAGTGGTTTCAAGTAGTAACAGACAGAACAAAATAAGTCACCAAGCAAAATAAAATAAAATGCGCAAATCTATGTCTAATCAAACTGAATACAGATAAGATCCTCACCAGTTCCAGAATGCTCCCTTTTACAGACTAATCTTTTAGTCTGGGTCCAGCAATCACTCACACCTCTTGCACACTGTCCTTTGTTCCAGTTTCTTTCAAATATCCTGGAGGGTGGAGAGGCTCTCTTTAGCCAGCTGAAGACAAAATGGAGGGGTCTCCCAGGGGTTTAAATAGACTTTCTCTTGTGGGTGGAGACCCCCTCCTCACTCCTATGCAAAGTCCAGCTCCAAGATGGAGTTTAGGAGTCACCTGGGCAAGTCGCATGTCCATGCATGACTCTGTTTTTACAGGTAGCAACCATTGTTTACATGCTACCTTGAATGTCCTCAAGTAGACTTCTTATGTGGATTGGAGCATTCCAAGATCCATTGTCCTTTAAATGTTTCTTGATTAGGTACTTAATTTGCACATTCCTTTCTCCAGGAACTGACCAATGCTCTACTAAGGTTATTTAGAAATCAAGCCAGGACACAGCCAACATTCATAACTTTGAATACAAAAACGATACATGCATACAAATAGGATTAATACATTCAGTAGATCATAACCTTTACGGAGATATGTTACATGGCATATGTAGCATAAAACACATTCTAAGCATATTTCCATAAAGCCTTATGGGAGGTACTGTCACAGGCACCTGTGTGTGTGTGTTTTTTTAAAAAAAAGCCCCAAATATCTGGACTGTCCCTATAAAATTGGGACATCTGGTCACCCTACTTAGAGATGGCTTGCTGATAAGTCTATGAACCTGAACTCCCCTTTATGTGGATGACCTCCTTCCCTTGCCTCAGAGTATGATTGCCTTCTTTCACTGCCTCTTTCAGATACATTGGTTGCTTTCTTACGGGAAGTTGCATCTGAAGCCCCTGGCATTCCATTTTATTACTATCACATTCCTCCTTTAACAGGTGTAAAGAGTAAGTATGTTGCTCATTCAGTGACTCTTGCTCCTATTACATGCAGACTTTCCCTGTTCAAGGGATTTACTCAGAAAACAGTTGGTGAATCTAGAATTAGAAAACACATTTAGCTTGTCTACTTTAGAAAATGTTACTGTGCCGAAACAGGATTGAATGGTCAAATAGGTGCTGTACTTAGTGGGGAAGGAGAATTAATAACTCTTGATATCAAAAAGGATGAAGTATTTAATGCCTATTTTGCTTCAGTCTTTACTAAAAAAAAGTTAATGATGACCAGATACTCAACACAATTAATACACCGGACTCTTGCTAGAACACGCGTCTATACAGCACAAATTTGCATATAACACGGTCGCAGCCATGGATCCCAAATTTAATTACTTTAATTGCAATTCATTTTAACACGGTCCCCACGTTAACGCAGTACCATGCATGGATACCAAATCCCGCATTCTAGTGAGGGTCTGGTGTATTAATAAGGGGGAAGGAACTCAAGCCAAAATAGGGAAAGAGCAGATTAAACAATATTTAGATAAGTTAGACATATTCAAGTCAGCCGGGCCCGATGAGATTCATTCTAGGGTACTTAAGGAACTAGCTGAAGCAATATCAGAACCATTAGCAATTACCTTAGAGAACTCATGGATGATGGGTGAAAGGCGAACATAGTGCCTATCTATAAAAAGGGGAACAAAGAGGACCTTGGGAATCCTAGACCAATCAGCCTAACTTCAGTACGTGGAAGGATACTGAAACAAATTATTAAAAAATCAATTTGTAAACATATAGAGGATAAGAGTTATAAAGAATAGCAAGCATGGATTTTTCAAGAACAAATCATGCAAAACCAACCTAATTTCCTTCTTTGACAGAATTATTGGCTTAGTGGGTGGGGAGGAAGCAATAGATGTGATTGTAAGGCTTTTGACAAGGTCTCACATGATGATCTCCTAAGCAAATTAGGGAAATGTGGTTCAGATTAAATTACTATAAGGTGAGTCTGGAACTGGTTGAAAAGCCATACTCCAAGAGTAGTTATGAATGGCTGGCTATCAAACTGAGAGGAAGTATTTAGTGGGCTCTCAGAGGAGTCAGTCCTGAGTCTGGTACTACTCAATATTTTTATTAATGACTTGGATAATGGAGTGGAGAGGATGCTTATAAAATTTGCAGATAACACCAAACTGAGAAGGGTTGCAAGCACTTTGGAGGACAGGATTAGAATTCAAAACAACCTTGACAAATGGGACAATTGATATGAAATCAACAAGATGAAATTCAATTAAGACAAGTGCAAAGTACAACAGTTAGGAAAAAATCAAATGCCCAAGCACAAAATGGGGAATAACTGGCTAGGTGGTAGTACTGCTGAAAAGGATCTGGGGTCACAAATTTAATGAGTCATCAATGTGATGCAGTTGCAAAAAAGGCTAATCTAAGTCTGAGGTGTATTAACAAGTGTACCTCCCATGTCTGGTTGTACGCAAGACATGGGAGGTAATTGTCCCACTTTACTCTGCATTGGTGAGGCTTCAGCTGGAGTACAGTGTCCAGTTCTAGGCATCACTCTTTAGTAAAGATGTGGATAAATTAGAGATCATCCAGAAGAGAGCAACAAAAATGGTAAAGGTTTAGAAAACCTATTCTCCAAGGAAAGGTTAAAACAACAGGACACGTTTTAGTCTTGAGAAAAGAAGACTGAGGGGCGGACCTGATAACACCTGAAGTATGTTAAGGGCCGTTACCAAGATGACTGTGATCGGTTCTCCATGTTCAGTGGAGGTAGGAGCAGAAGTAATGGGCTTACTCTGCAGTAAGGGAGATTTAGGTTAGATGTTAGGAAAACCTTTCTAACTCTAAGGGTGGTTAAGCTCTGGAATAGGCTTCCCAGGGAGGTTGTGGAATCCCTACCATTGGAGGTTTTTAGGAACAGGTTGGACAAACACCTGTTCGGGATGGTCTTGGTTTACTTGGTCCTGCCTCAGCATAGGCAGCTGGGCTAGATGACTTCTGGAGGTCCCATCCAGCCCTACACTCCTATGAGTCTATAAGATGAAATGATGCTGACTATGACATCATGACCAGTGTAGACCAGGACAGGTTACGTTTAGCATCATGTCTGCTAACCATTGCTTCCAGCAATCTTTCACCACACCTAGCTGACAGTGATAACCTCCACTTGTGCTGCTCAATACTGACCGCATAGTCCTGGTTAGCTAACTGAAGTACTAATCACATTCAGCCACAATAAATTTTTCTAATGTAGACAAGTCCAGACAAGTTAGCAGTGCAGCTGAGAATTGAACTTAAGTTATTTGACTCCCTTGCTCTAGGCACCAGACCGTATAGCCTCTTTGAATATATTTTTAAAGCGTAGCTGCCAGTTCATTTCTGAACTGCTTATCTAACTGTATTTCACAGTTTCTGAACTAAGATTAATACTCAAGAAGGAAATAAGACATCTGATAGATATTAATGAAATCACTGCTGTGTAACAGGGCACAAGCCAGGAAATAGACAATGGGGAAAAAAAGAAAATGCAGGTAGCAGAATTATAGAAGCTGTTCAGCTTAGATGTGGATGTGTCCCACATGATCTTGCTTATTGTCAATAAGCAGCAAGTATGTAATACGGGAGTAGGTATAAATGAGAGGGGGTAGTGACAATTCTATATCAATGGTACATTTCTCCTAACATGCATTTGTGCATCTCTTCGTATATTCCAGAGTTACTTTACTGGTTCCTTTCAAGCTATTTAAGTAACCAAGCTCTTACATTTAAACCGTAAAGAAAATGTTGGAAAGCAACAAGTCTGCCTCTGATTACCTTGTGTGAGGGGAGGGAAGGGTCCTGACTCTGCTCAAATGAAGAATAGTAAGGCTTGAGTGACAATGATGACCCTTTGAGGAGGAGATCAGGGACATCTTATATGACTGGAATGTGTTTCTTGATGTGAGATTGTTGTTCTGTGCAGTTCGTGTTGAGGAGCTGCTGGATGGTATAAAAGAACAGATCCCCACCTTCCAGGGGGTGAAGTTCAGTGACACAGACCTCTTGGACTTCGCACAGTGTGTGAAGAACAACAAAGAGCAATTTGTGCTACTCTATGGGGTGGATGAGGTAAGAGGCTCCACTTTTAATGATCTCCTCTAAAAACCATGTGGCTTATGCTAAGACATATCCTGGTTCCAACCTGAACAATTACTACCCAGTGTGAATTGAATTCTAGCCATGTTCAGGACCGCGAGTTGTACTGCTCATTCTTCCTTTGCTTTTTATTATATGAAGTAAAATGCTTTTTTCCCCCCACAAACTAGCATCTGCTGAGTGCGCTGGCAATAGGAGCATCTGGGGCAGTTGGAAGGTCAGTCTTTTTGCATTCCTGCTCCATTTGTTGCCATATTTACCACTATCTGTCTATGTATTGTAATTATATGGCCCCCATTACTGTAATACCCTGAGTACCTCACAATCTTTAATGTATTTATTTATCCTCACAACATTGCTGTGAGGCAGGGTTGGACTATTACCCTCTTTACTGAGGGGAACTGAAGTTCAGAGAGACTAAAGAGACTTCTGTGTGATCTTGGGGAAAGTGGAGAAGGGAATCGAACCTAGGTCAGGGTCAGTGTTTAAGCACTAGACAATCCTTCCTCCCCCACTGAGGAGACGTAAATGAGTTACCATACCGCATTGCAATTCATGTGTACAATATATAAATCACAAGTGACAAGTAAACAAAGTGATTGTTCCCCAGAATGGCTAACTGATTTTTTTGTTCTTGGAAAAACAATGTCATTTGTAAAGGATGATGGGAAATAAACACTTAATTGTAACACTTTTTTTCAGTGGCAGCAGTCATGCTTTTAAGGCTCAACTATATACAATATGTTTCAGACCACGTGGAGTTTCTAGATCGGAATGATTACGTTCTGAAAACAAAATATTGCACTAGAAAGCCTGGGACGACTTGTTTGTTCTGGTTGCGGTGGCTGCTCTAAGCACCTCTTGGCACAACTGACTTTACTTTGGTTTTTTTGGCAGCACATACAACTACCTGGGCAAAAAAAACAACTTGATGTTGGAGGCTTTTGCAAAGCAAGACCTTGCATTAGCACAGCGGTATCAGGTACAGCATCTTTACCTGCTCCCAGTGGGAGTGTCCTCTCTCCGCTTCCCTAAACTTCTCTTCACTGGGCACCGTTCAGTCTGTGGCTTCCCACCACCACCACTTTAACCACCTAATCTCTCGCCACTATGTTCACACACAAACAATCTGTTTGTCTGGTACACAGCTCCCCTTTTCTCAAACCGATCCAGGCACAAACCCCGCTATTTTAACTAGCCAAGGCACAGCTCACCTTTCTTCCCCTGGTGTAACCTCCCCTTCAGCCCCCAAAACCCTATGTGGAATGGGCACTGTCCATCTCTTCCCTCATAAACAGTCTAACCTAGATAGGTCTGTTTGTTTCCCCCAGTCACATACATGTTTTGGCTTAGGCAAACCTGTTCTAGGATCCTCTTGTCCCATTTCCAATCAATGTTCTTCTCATCCACCCTCCTTCCTCTTCCCTTCCTGTCCGTGTGCACACACCTACCTGCTGACTAGTCTGGAGACTGCCTCCTGCCTTTCTAACCTGGCTGAGCACCCCCTTGCTGATTGATAACCACCATTCAAATACTCTCCATCTATAGGGCTCCATGCCCAATCTCTTTTAAGGGGTGGTTGTCCTAGTCGTCTTTTTAACCATTCCAGATGGGTCACTGTCCACTCTACTCACTTTTTAACTAGTCTTGGCAGTTTCTTGCCCCTCCTTCATCAGTTGCTTATGGGGAAAGGAGGTTAGGCTGGACCAAGCATCATCTCTTTCCTTCTTGTCTCTCTTCTCCTGCTTCCCCTCCACCTCCCCCACACCACTGAGATTGGGCTTTCTTCCTGGTTAACAGTAGGCAATAGCATTCTGCACAAGGGTTCTCCATCATGCAGGGTTTCTCAGGTCACTATGCCATTACCCTTCTTGCTCAGCATGTCGGAGGCCATAGCGATGGTGTAGTCAATATGCAAATGATACACAATTTTCTATCGCAGTCTTGGGCAGCGGGGGCACTTCTCCTTTGTTCTAAAAGAGAGGGACTGGTGGCAGGAGCATGGGGGGGCTATGTTCAACAAAGGGTCCTCTACTCTGGAAAGGACTTCCTGTCTGGAAGTCTAGAAGGGCACGGTGCACCAGTTTCCTCAGACTGTTGTGTTAAGGGCCAAGTTGAATAATAAGGATGGCCTGAATGGGGAGTGGTTCATTGAGGTGGGAGCAGTTCAATGGGGGGGTTTGGAGCTGTGGATGATGTTGTTTACTTAAGAAGGCATGCCAAATGTACTGGGGACTTTCCCTTTGCTATGTCATGTGTATAATTGTTGTTATACAAGCATCCAGAGCTGTTAGAATATGTCTTGTAAATATGAAGAAGTGAATTTAAAAAATACTGTCTGTTTCTCTTCTAGTTCTGTACTGGAGAATTTCTCAGCTTTGTATTCAAACTAGGTAGGTGCTGCAATATCTTCCTCCCTCACTGTGTTGTAAAACAGGAACTGAAAATCCATGAGCTTCACTGAAGCTTCCAGGTCCCTGCAACCTGAGAAGCTCCCTTCTGAAAGGTCTTGTGCAAAGAGAGACCTCACATCTGCTGTTACTGCTTGAGTTATCAGCAGTTGGGAGTTCAATGACTGAGCTGGTAAAGCACATCCAGAAAGATTCTACTCACTCTTCACTCCTTTCTCCAGGCTCTCTGACAAATTCCCCAACTTCAAAAAAACAATTTTTTTTATCCTGACTATCCATTTTTCTTAAATCCACTCTGTGTCACTCTTACTGAGTGTTCTCAATCCCAGACAAGATAATAAAGTGCCCTGATGACAAAGCACGGGGGGCCTGATTCTCCTCTTATGTTGTGTGGCAAGGTACCTTCTCGGTCTCACCAGGCTCCGCTGCTTTTAGCCTTGGTGAGACAGGCTTGGATAAAACAGTCCCTCTTGGTTGCACAGAGGAAGTCCGTTCCTTCTCTCCACCAGTCTTTTGGGAGGGAATGCAGCCTCCCCTCCTGGTGAGGCTCGCTGTCTCACTGCGCCTAACCTACTAGCAGCATGACTCCTTCTCTCGCTCCCCCTCTTCTCTCAACGGGGAGGGTTTAAAAGGGTCTCGGGCAGCCCTTAGTTGGAATCAGCTGATCCTAATTGACCTCAGGTAACTCCCTCTCAGCTGATCCTAATTGATTCTCTGGTAACCCCTTCTCAGCTGAACCTGATTGACCTGTAGTTACCCCTCCTCAGTTGATAGGGAGGAGGGCCTTTTAACCTTCTGGGACTGTTTTCTACCCCTCCCCGCCTTGCAGCTGTCTGTCCTGAGTTTATCACAGTTGGTATAACTTAAGAGTAACTCCACTCAAGTGAGTGAGTTTTACACAGGTGTAAGTGAGAGGACAATCAGGCCCAAGAATCTAGACATCCATTTATGAGAAAAATAAGTGTTTTTACATTGTAGGCCTACTCCCCTTGTGCTTTCAAAACTATATCTATTGACTTTGCTGGCAAAAATACATGTTTTCTCCTGTTAACCCTGCAGAGCCATCACCGCTTTGGGTGAGAGAGGCAGATTCTTTCTGGTTTGCACATAATCAAGAGAATTATTAACTGAATTCTAACTACAGAATCTGTATTACTTCTTTCAGAGTAGCAGCCATATTAGTCTGTATTACTTCTGATACTATATGTAAGCCACAAAGGACATGGTTGGGCTTTCGGTTCCTAGGTTGTTTGCTGGGCTGAGAGTTAGATGATACATTTTTATCTATAAAGATTACCCTAATTTGATCTGGAAGTCCTGGAAAAACAAGTATGGGAACCCTCACAAAGCCACACTTAGAGTCACTTTTCAGAGCGTAAGCATGCATTACTAAGGAAATATTGTACTTGGGGCATTTTGGAGGAGAATATGGGTAGCTAAGAGTGGTTTGTACTGTAATACAGGATGGATATTAACTCTGTTTTCTGTCTGCAAACATCACTTGCTGATTACATCTTTCTCCCTTGTGGGAATTTAAACTCTGGCCATATTCTAGGGTTTCACAAGAGATGGAATAGTTGGTGCGGTTGGTATTTTAGAGCCCTCTGTAGTGACTGTCTTTTATTTAAGTGATATATTTAAGTAACCTGCCTTTTTTTTTTTTTTTTTTTTTTTTCTTTTTCTTTTGCCTACCTAGGTTTTGGTGTTGCACAAACTAAAGCAGTCATGACTTTTACCTCAGGGATTCCAATGGGTCCCCCACGGCTTCCGCTCCTGAGTGCCTCTGTGGATTTTATTGAGAAAGCAAAAGCTAAAATGGAGAGCCTGATTGTGTGACTGTCCCAGCAGTTGATCTGATATTAATGTGGATCTGGAGGTTTGGGGCCTCTGCTTTTGTGATTCATCACTCAAAGGGTTCTCCTTGGGGAACACACTGACTCAATGAGATTTCCATCAGTGAATTTGTAATAAGTGGTTTCCTAACAGGGATGGCCTTGTTAGCCTATGTCTTGCTTTCTTTCCTTTAGTATTACCCAAAGGGGGAACCTTTATAATACAGGTGAATTCTGTTTATCTGAATGGCCTGGAGGACATCCGAGACCTTTGGATAACCAGGTGTTCAGATAAATGGAAGTGCTATTTTTAGCTGCAGTTTCACAGGTCTGGTCTACACTTCAAATTGAGGTCAGCCTAGCTACGTTGTTAAGATGCCCTAACCTTTCTGGTAGATGTGGCAAGGTCAATGGAAGAATTCTTCTGTTGACCTAGCTACTACCTCCCGGAGAGGTGGATTACGCCTATTGAGGGGAAACCCCCTTCTGTCGCTGTAGGAAACGTCTACGCTATGGTGCTCCAGCGGCACAGTTCCAGTGCCATATCAGTGCCGCTTGAGTGGCTGTAGTGTAGACAAAGCCACTGTTTCATACTGCAGTGATGCCAGTCCCAGAGGGAGGAGGGGAGAAAAGTATCTGGTATCACTGCGGAATGAAAGGGCGGGGAGAGGGAAGGCAAAGAGGAGGATGGGAGAGAGAAAAGAAAGGAGGTAGAGGGGAAGGAGCCGCAGGAGACAGGAGCCTTCTTGACAGCCCAGGATTCCACAAGCACCAGTACAAATACTGTAGTGAGGGGTACAGCTGCCTGGCTCCCTCCCCCACAGCTGTCAGTGCTAGAACCAAGGAGGTTCTTGTCTCCTGCAGCTATTCCCCCTCTCTTAACTACATTTTGGATCCCCAAGAGTGTGATCTGAAAGAACAGTGTATTCCCCCATGCACTTAATGAACCGCTAAGAGGTTATCTGAATGAGCACAATCGGGATATTCAGTTAATTGACATTTGAACTTTGCCTGTAGTTGCCTCTGCCCTATGGTGCACAAAAGCAAGGTATGCTTCTAATGAAGCAAACGTATAAGGGTATGTCTGTACTGAAAATGCTACAGCAGCACAGCTGCAGTACTTCAGCATAGACACTACTTACCCCGATGGAAGGGGTTGACATAAGTTATACCAACATAAGTGGTAGTGTAGACATAGCCTGACTCTCTGCTGAGGAGGAAGGTTCCTTGCTGGAATTCTGAGTTCCTCTGGAAAGGGAAGAGGACTCTCTGACTTCCAGAATTTCCGTCTACTATGACAGTCCCAACCCCCCGCCCCCCCCACACACACACACACTTTTTATGATGCTGGGACATGGGTGAAGTAATGTGCCTCTTGTACTCTGACATGACATCATTCTGCTCAGCCTGGTATTTTAGTGCAGCTGTTATGTCATATAAACCTACAAAAACTCCATTTTTACCAGTGAGTAAAAGGAATCAGGTTAATGTGCCCAGAACTCCCAGAAGACATTCTTCTTCCATAGGCTTCTTTCCCTTTATCTCTCCCCTCCATTTTCTTGCTCTCCCTGTATTTCCTCAAATAAAAAAATTAAGTAACTCTTTTGTGACAGAAGGCACTTGCTCCATTTTGTTCCCAGCATGTGCTGGCTAAAGCAGCACCAGGAATTGAACCAGAGGTTCTACATGGCAATGCAAAGCACTACCACTTCTTACAAATGTCATTTATTGCTGATGTTAAGGGGCCCTCTACACATATTGGACCTAATGCGCCACTACATATTGGACCTAATGCGCCACCTGTGTATTTGTTTACACCTTGGCAAAATGCTACCATCTAGGTGCCTGGAGAATTTTGATTTGGTAGCATTTTATACCCACTTTGCACAGGTAAGAATGACTGCATGTACAAGGCAGGGAGAATCAGGTCTGAGAATCTGGTAATCTGTTGCTATTTTAGTATCCAAGGATTCTGGGTAACCTGGAGAGTAACATTCCATTAATTTCTTCAGTTTGGCAGTAATAATCTCACTTTCTATCTGCAGAACACAAACTGTAGAAGCCCTGACTGAGTTAGATGATTGACAAGATTTTTCTCCTGAATCTGTAAGGCATGTAGGTAAGCTTCCCTGGTGGGTCAAACATGGAAGAAGGTGGCCTCTGAAATAGCAAAGAGCACTGCACATTTGCAGCTGTTCCTTGCACAACCAACCATTGATTGGCGCAAGCGTGCAGAGAGCCAGCATGATAAAAATCATAGAAAAAAATAAGACTGTGTGCACACTCCCAGATTCAGCTATTTTAGGAGAACTCTACTGTGTATTCTTTAAAGCTTTTACTTTGATGTTTTTAGATTCTCTAATCCAAATGAGATTCTCTATTGCTGTTCCAATGTTATGCACATAACAATACACTGTTACTTACTTTCTGCATATTTTAATATAATATATATAGATGCATCTAAACATGAGATCTTCAATTGAATAACTTTTCTAACAGACCCAAATTATTCCTGGTATTTTTAAGTCTGTCTTGCTCTGTTTATACAAATCTCCAGATATTAAACTGTGTTTACATCTGAAATTTTGTTTAATGTTTCAATGAAATTTCTGTATATTTTCTTAGTGATCATTAAAAGCATTCTTAAAAACATTTGCCTCTGTTTCCTCCTTGGAAAAATGCTCTTGAGGGGGCAGAGGTGGATGGGTCAGAGGGGACTGTTTTCTAGTCTCTCAAAATTTAGTAATATCTTCCCCTTCCTCTCATGCTCCTTCAGGAAGATAATCTTAAGGATGGATGCTGCAAGCACTTAAGCACATGCTTAACTTTACCCATGTTAGTAGTCCTACTGAAGTCAATGGTACATCTTGCATGAATAAAGTTTAAGCACAAATATGCCAGCAAGATCAGGATCTAATCTCCTCCTTTTAAAACTCAAGTATGGGAAAGATTGTGCCTGCCTTAACTCACTTTCAGTTGCTTTTTGACCTGCACCCTCTTCCAAACTACCGTGAATCCTAGTACCTTCTATCTGTTCTCTCAGAAAGTCAGTGGAAAGTGTTCTTGGGTTTTAAGAAATCTTCAATAAAGAAAAGTGCAAAGTACTTTGTTTAGGAAGGAAAAATCAAATGCACAGCTATAAAATGAGTAACTAGCCAGGAGGTAGTACTACTGTAAAGGATCTGGGGTTATAGTGGATCATCAATTGAATGAGTCAAGAATGTGATGCAGTTGTGAAAAAGGCTAATACCATTCTGGGATATATTAACAGAATTTTTATATGTAAGACACGGGAGGTAATTGTCCTGCTCTATTTGGCACTGGTGAGGCCTCATCTGGAGTACTGTGTCCAATTCTGAGCACCACCATCTAGGAAAGATGTGGATAATTTGGAGAGAGTCCAGAGGAGAGCAACAAAAATGATAAAAAGGTGTTGCAAACTTGACTTATAGACGGAATTAAAAAAAAAAAAAAAAAAAGGCATGTTTAATCTTGAAAGACTGAGGTAGGACCTAAGTCTTCAAATATGTAAGTGGCACTTGCTCTAAAGAAGATGGGGATCAGTTGTTCTCCATGTCCAGTGAAGGTAGGGCAAGAAGTTAATAGGCTTAATCTACAGCAAGGGAGTTTTAGGTTAGAACATTTTCCTTAATATCTAACTCTAAAGGTAGCTAAATTCTGGAAGAGGCTTCCAAAGGAGGCTGTGGAATCCCTTCTCTGCGATGCCTTCTCAGGGTGCCCAGAACCATAAGCCACTGTGCTGCCTCTGCCTCCGCAAGAGAGCTTTGCTGGGGCTTAAGCTGTGTCAGCTCTGATACACCAGCCAGCCTTACCAGCAAACTCCTTGAGACCCTGTCAGTCTAAATCTTGCCTTGCAGGTAACGTACAGTGAACCCCAGTTACCAGGCTCCCCAGAAAGGTCTCGGCAGTGTCCAGTTCCTCTCACTAGACACTCACATTGTCATAAACATACAGCTAAGGGTAACATAACATCCCCCTTTACCCTGTGCAAAGGGTTAATTCCTTTAACCTGTAAAGGGTTAAGAAGCTCGGATAACCTGGTTGGCACCTGACCAAAAGGACCAATAAGGGGAGAAGATACTTTTAAATCTGTGGGGGAAGGTTTTTGTTTTGTTCTCTCAGAGTCAGCAAAGGAACCAGGGCAGGGCAAATATATCTCCCTAAGCCATATCTGGACTAAGCATCTAGTATTGCAGAAATAGTACGTAATAGCAAAGAAATGAGTTAGATTATCTTTTGTTTTAGCTTGTGAATTTTCCCTGTGCTAAGAGGGAGGTTTATCCCTGTTTTTGTAACTTTAAAGTTTTAACTAAAGGGGAAATCCTCTGTGTTTTTGAATCGGATTGCCCTGTAAAGTTATCTTCCATCCTGATTTTACAGAGGTGCTTCTTCTACTTTATAATAAAGTCTGGGGTTTTTGTTTTTAGAATATGATTGGGTTTTAGTGTCCTAAAACCCAAGGGTCTGGTCTATGCTCACCTTGTTACCTATCTGGTTGGTAGAGTATTCTCAAGCCTCCCCAGGAAAGGGGGTGAAGGGCTTGGGGGGGTCGGGGGGAGGGAATATTTTGGGGAAACAGGAACTCCAAGTGGTCCTTTTCCTGAATCTTTGTCTAACTCACTTGGTGGTGGCAGCATACTGATCAAGGACAAGGTGGAATTAGTGCCTTGGGAAAGTTTTTAACCTAAGATGGTAAAAATAAGCTTAGGGGGTCTTTCATGCAGGTCCACACATCTGTACCCTAGAGTTTAGAGTGGAGAAGGAACCCTGAAGTTTGTCTCCAAAGAGACTGTGTGCGCACCAGCCTTTTAGCTCAGTTGAGGATTGAAGTACATCCTCAGCTGAACTAACAGTATTTTATATCCAACCCCCGATCCCCCCCCCCCTTTTTTTTTTTTTTTTAATTTCTTTTCTGCAAAATAATTTCAACTTTTTATCCCACCTGGTAGGATGGAAATTCCAAAATTCTCAGCTCTACTTATTACTGGTTAGTTCTAGGGCTGCAAGTCACAGTACTAGCTCTGAAATTGGTTTTCAACGTAGAGCATAGCTACACTTGCAGATGTAGAGCGCCGGGAGTTAAACCAGCCGTTGGAGACCACAGCAGGAAAGCGCTGCTGTGGGTTCACGCTGATAGCTGCAAGCTCAGTGGCGTGGCCACATTTGCAGCACTTGCAGCGACATTGGGAGCGGTGCATTATGAGCAGCTATCCCACAGAGCACCTCTTCCCATTCTGGCGCTGAGGCTTGTGGGAAGCGGGGGGGTGCGGGGCATCCTGGGTCCTGTCCCAATGCCCCATGATGCATTGCTTTGCATCCCAGCAATCCCTTTGCTTCCGTTCACATTTGGTGCCATCTTTCAAAGGTTTTTGTACTGCATGCTCTGTCTTCCCTTTCGGTCTGCGGGAATGGATCCCAAACTTGTGAAGAATATGCTGATGGATCTCGCCAGCACGTCACGAATTGCAGTTGAGTTACTCCTTAAGCTACAAAGTGACAGTGAGGAGTCCGATGTTGACTCACATAACGCATATGACACGAGATTGCTTGTGGCATTCACGGACATGCTCACCACAGTGTAACACCGCCTTTGGGCTTGGGGAAACAAGCACTGAGTGGTGGGATCACATCGTCAGGCAAGTCTGGGATGACGAGCAGTGGTTGCAGAACTTTCAGATGAGGAAAGCCACTTTCATGGGACTGTGTGCTGAGCTCGCTCCCACCCTGTGACGCACGGACATGGCATTGAGAGCTGCCCTGTTGCTGGAGAAGCGCATGGCTATTGCAATCTGGAAGCTGGCTACTCCAGATAGCTACTGATCAGTCACTAACCAGTTTGGAGTGGGAAAGTTGGCGTTGGAATCGTGTTGATGCAAGTTTGCAGGGACATTAATTGCATCCAACTCAGAAGAACCG